GTTTTTAAAGGGGGTTTGGTCCAAACAGCTGCTGGCCTTCAGTCATGATGTGATGTTTGAGGAAAGAATGTTACAGAAATGCTAAACAGCCCAAATTTGAAATGGAGTCTGGTGGATGTGGCCTCCCATCACTCAGGTGGAATAAATGCTCAGGGCTGAGGTTTCGGTGCAGGGACCGTCACTGCCGGCTGGATCATCTTCTCCCGCTGACTCTGTGAGTAGTTAAACTGAAAACCGCTGGATTTTCAGCCTGGTGATCGACCCTGATTAAAGGTCCTGGAAATCAGCCATTTTTCAGAGTCTGGCGGCTCAGAAATACAATTCTCTTAATCAATGATGAAATGTGAACGTTGTTACATCAGGTCACGTCTTGGTTTCTGGCAGCTACAATGGTTTATGAGGTCTGTCTGGTTTTTACGCAGAGGTTACAGAGCAAGCAGCTGCAAAACGGTTTAAAGATGGCGGTGCACATAAATGTTTGCCAGAGTTGTATGACAGCACTGTATTTTTGCTCATGTTGCTGGACTGTTTGTCCAGGACAAACGTCCCTGTGGGACAACAAAGCTCTTTTATCCTTCGTATGGTTTCAATCACGTGGTTGCAAACGGAGGCATAACTGCGCATGACAACAGCTATTCTGTAGTGGACTTTATGGGAAAATAAGCTATAACTAACAGCATCGCTGACGTACAGGTGATGCGGTTTAGCTGAGGTTGAACACAGTTCATCCTTCTCTCAGCGCGAGGCTGAAAGCTGACCTCAGGTCATACATATTCATACGTGAGTTATAATCGTCTACACCTGAGCTCAGAGTCAGACCTGCTGCTCTGGAAAACAAACACCTGACGGTCCGGAACTTCCAACTTATCTTTAAAAACCGGACACAGTCTGGACCCCGCGGTGCTCACACGGTAAACCGAAAGGACTAGCTTTAGCATTAGCTTGACCTTCGAAGCTGCAGGGCCTCACGGAGCGGTTCCGAGCGGATAAAGACACGCGAGTCTCCGTCGAAGAGCACCGGCAGCACCGGCACCTGTAGCAGAGGAGCCGGGCGGAACTGGCTCATCTGTCAGGTAGAATCACGCTCACCTGTCCAGATATTCCTTTGGCTCTTCCTTTGCGGCACGGCAGTGACAGCCGGATGTGGATTCTCGTCGTCTTCTACGTTTTATTTAACTCACGACTCTGCTGCGCCCCCTGCAGGCAAAATCGAAACACGTAGTGACCTAGAATAGAATAAAATAGAATAGAATAATCCTTTAATTGTCCCACAGGGGGAAATGTGGTTGTAAAAGCAGCAAGAAAACACATATACAAACAGAACAGGATATAGAACAGAAACACAAACTTTTTACATATTTCCATCATGGACAAGAGTTATCAATCAATCAATCAATCAATCAATCAATCAATCAATCAATCAATCAATCAAAGCTTTATTCGCCACGTGCAGGTTGCCCTGCAGTAAAATAGGAAATAGTTACCGAAACAGAGTACTGTACAGTTATTAAAGTTAGAGTACAGATAAGTGGCAAACCAAGGCTGGAGTGTGCAAAATGAGCAGGATACCGAAAGATGCTTAAATAGTTAAGAATATTTAGAATAATTAGAAAAGTACAGATTATGTATTGTACCTATTCATTGACAAGTAGACATGTAACATGTAAGTTAGTATATATAAACTGAGAAAAGTAATGTGCAAGTTATAACAGTAGTGTTCGGTTGATTAGTGCAAATTACAGCGCTGATGTAAACATCTATGTTTGTCGTGCGCAGTTTTGATTGTAATAATTGTATTGTAAATAATGAATATGAATTTTTCACATTTTGATTAATAAAAGTTACGCAAACGTGATTAATTCGCAAACAACAAACATAGACAAGAGTTTACAGAAAAAATGTGAATGTGAGAACGCATCTCCGCGCCGACGTCTGTCCACCAGGGGCCGCTGTGGCTCCGCCGAAGCTCTGCTGCCTCCACGAGACGCTTCTGTGGAAAAACGCAACTTTTCAGTTTCAGCAGCATGTTCACGTCGTTTCAGCTCCTTAAAACTGCTGAAACGGACTGAAACTCTGCTGGAACCGGACTCCATCCTCTGCTGGGACGGCATGCTGCATTATGTAACTTCCGGTGGTTGCCAGGTTTCCCGGTCATTACGTATTCCTAGAGTTTTTCTGAATGGGAGGATGGCGGCGTCACAACATGGCAACCAACCATTGCAGCGCAGCTAGCCGCTAACAAGTTAGCATCATCGAGTCAGGAAAAGTGACCCACCGAAATAAAGTGAGCAGCTTTACAAAATAAAAGCAAAGTTCGCGATCTACAGTGAATTATGTAACCCGCACACGTCATTTAATGACGTCTTTTATCAATTTTCTTTTTTAATACATACATTAAGGTAAACATGACTAAATTATATACGTATAAATGAAATAATTAATTCAAACTACATAAAATGAAAATTAAAGAAAAAACAGTAATCTAATTAAGGATAGAATTAAAAAAAATGTATGTATTGATAACATAAAACAAACTGAAATAGCTGTTGATAAATTCTGTACAATAGCAATAATACTAACAACGTTAAATATGTATGAGTATGTTTCAGGAATTTATATTATTATTATTATGATTATTATCACCATAGGTAAATTTGGCAGCATCTCTGTCCCTCTGATGATAAATACATCAGTAAATCTGCTGTTCTGCTGCTGTTTGGTGAAAAATTTAATATTTTTTTGAAAGATTCAAAAGTGTTTTAACTATTAACCCACCACTGGGATCGATTCATTAAAAAAAACATACTTAAATAACTTGAATAAATGGAACACACAAGTCCTTAAAGTCTTTAGGTTGTACTGTGGACGTAAAATGTGTTTTTTCCATGATAGTGTTTAAATTCATTTGCGGAAACGCTTAAGAATAAGAAAAAAAAACAAGTCCTTTGAGGTACGTCATTTATTTTGAAGGCGGGCGGATGTGGACGTCTCTCCTGCTGTAGACTTGACGCATGCGTAACTGTCGTCTAGTCGCTCTGCTCAAAGGCACCGAGGCGGAGAGGGTTTCTCTCCACTCACCTGCATTCAGGCACGGCGGCTCTCCTGCGCTCATAGGCCGGGAACAGCTCTGCTGGATACGTCCGGAGGACCGGCTCCGCACCGGCCGTCCTTCCGCAGATGGTCTTTGTCTGCAGGCAGGGGATCTGGAAACCCGGGCCCGCTGCGGGAGCGGGGAGGAGGCCTCGGAGCTCCCCTGTTCTGATCCATAAAAGAGCAGCGACAGCCCGGATGCATCTCTACTAGCAGGTCGGCTAGCATCCATCCAGAGCGGGGCTCGGGAGGCAGCGAGCAGGCCGGATAAAGGGACCGATTCGTGCTGCTTCGGGTCGAGGTTTCTACTGGATTTTATTTGGGCTTTATTTTTCTGCGGGTTATTCTTTAAATCTGGAAATCGCGGGACTGGAGGCCGGCTAGCTGCGAGCTAGCTGCCCAGGATTACCAGGGTAACCAGACAGCTGAGGCTCCGCAGTAAAACAGACCGTCTCCCGGTGATCTCTGACCCGCTGACAGACCTCACCGGAGGCCGGGGCGCAGCGATGGCTGCCTTAATCAGAATCCGGGGGATTGTGAGCAGGAACAAAAGGCGGTACCAGGAGGACGGCTTCGACCTGGACCTGACCTGTATCCTTTACCTTTGTGTGTGTGTGTGTGTGTGTGTGTGTGTGTGTGTGTGTGTGTGTGTGTGTGTGTGTGTGAGATAGCGCCGTGCAGAAGCCTGTTCAGAAAAGCTGTGATTTAAGGAGGCGGCTCGGTGTGGGGCGTATTGCTGATGAGCAGCCGGACTCAAAAATTCGCACATTTAGAGGCGGGCTCGTGTCTGCTGGCTCGTGCCTGAAGGCTGTTCTCGGTCGGTCTTCATGGTCCAGATGTTCCGCTGGTTTTTTCTGCAGCGACCGTCTTCATGCTGTCCCCTTACACTGACACGTCTGCTAATTAGTCTTAATTTAGCAGATTTTTCAATGCAGTTCGGCGTGAGGTCTGTTGGAGCATCTCCAGGCTGCTCTGATGCATCTGCTGTAGGTCAGAATATCGATTATCGACCAACCTGTGTGTTATTGGTAAAATAACAAACCCAGCACTGAATTAATGAAATCTATCGATCACTACTGATGATTGATTATTCTGTTTGGTCATATTTAGTGGTGTTCGCTTCTCTCCTGTGTTAATAAAGTTTGATTCAGAGGACCTCCTGCAGGGCTGAAGGCACCAATCCACATGCAGCTGATTGAACAGGACTGATTGATCAGAAAGCAAATAGCCACTTATGGTGGAGGGACTGAGGATGATCAGCACAGTGAAAGTCCCGATCAGTTTGATTATTGATCAGAGTAGGGGTGCTTTGTGCCTTTACAGACGCCTGACGTTACATTTTATTCTCTTAGCTGTTTTTATGTCGTTGACCTCTTCAGGTTTCTGACAGTTGATTCATCGCTTTGGCAAACTTCCTGTCAGCTGACTCTGATACCTGACCTGTTACCACCTTCTGAGGTAAACTGATCGATTAGGGAAACTCGACTCGTTTCCGATGATGTGATGGTTTATTCATTTTTAAAGAGGAACTGTTGTGTTTTCGGTCGTATGCGCCGGCCACCTGCTGTTAGACCTTCTGTTTATGAGGGGCAGCCAAACCCAACCCAAAGGTTGTCTTAAAGGGGGAGGAGTCCAGGAGAGAGATCTGACTAATCATGTGATGGTATGAAGCTCTGTGATTGGATGTTTGAGTGCTAGTTTTTGGGGTCCAGCTGTGTTCAGACGTTTGGTCCTGAGCGGCGCTCCATCAGACATTTATCCAAACATCATCGCGATGGGTTTCCCCGCCGAGCGGCTGGAGGGCGTTTACAGGAACAACATCGACGACGTGGTTCGGTAAGATGACCTTTGACCTTCTCTGACCCATGTTTTTAGTGCTCAGCAGCGCCTCCTGTAAACATCGCTGTGAAATCTGATCCCGTACTGAAAAAATGCACAACCCAGTTTTTAAGGTTATTGGGTCACTTCCTGTTAACGGATTAATGATCGCTGCTGCTAGCGAAGGTGGAAATCTTAAAAATTGGATGGACACACAAACGAAAACCACCGAAAGTTTGAAACTGGAGATTTTCTTTGATCCACGCTCAGAAAGAACACAGACTCAGTGATTCCCATATGGAAAAGAAATAGTAAAAACTTATATGATTTACTCATGAACGTGGCCACTTTCTCGTTACTTTCATATATTGTTTTAGGAAGTATCCAAAACATACAAGTTTCATTATATAATTTTTCAAGGGATCTTATATTTGTTTTCACTCTTGTATGCTTTTCATACAAGTTTCACACAAGACAGATACAAACTTTATAAGATTTATATGTATCTTTTCCATATGGGATATTGCTCCACTGAAAACTGATCTCCAGTGAGTCCAGAGCAGGAGCTCCTCAGTAGGCTTCCTGAACCTGGCAAATCAGAAGGAAGTTTGCTTTAAGGTGGGCCACAAAAATGTGAAGTGTACAAGTGAGCGAGCTTCAATCAGCTGAGCAATAATAGAAGATTATTTTATTGATTACAGACGTGCTCGAAATGTGACGTCAGCCTCGTTAAAGCCGCGTCGTGTTCAGACACCAGCAGGGGGCGCTGCGGAGACCACGTGTTGGTTTTTAAAGCTGGTTTGCTCGGCGTAGGATTTCTGGATGAAAGACTTTCACCTCAGCCTCACAGCAAACTCTGCAATAACACTGTAGTGTGATAACGCTGTAATAACACTCCACATGTCATCGTGGAGCTGCCGTGTGAGTAAAGTCGGTCTTTTTTAAAGCTTCCCTAACGGTTTGCCCCGCCTCTCCTCTCAGGTTTTTAGACTCGAAGCACAAGAATCACTATAAGATCTACAACCTGTGAGTACTCAGTCTGCTTTCCTCTGTAATGATGTCTTGAAATGAAAACTTCCTGTTCAGGTCATAAAGCTGAGTTTAGACCAGACTGTTAGGACCGGGGCCCTCAGGAGTCGAGCCTGACGGGCCTTCAGTTCTAAAGTTTTCATTCGCTCACTGATGTGGGAAATGTTCATGTGAGGAGCCCCGCCCACAGGCGTGCCGACTCAGCTCAGCAGGTCCAGGTGTACTGACAGCAGCGCAGGTTTAACAAACAGGATAATACTGTGACGTCAAGCACAGAGAAGTGGGTGAGGGGTTCATTTTAACGTACTCAGGTGAGCGTCTGTCAGGTGGACTCCGCCTCTCACCGCAGCTCCTTACGTCAGCGAGCTAAACATTCCTTCAGAGGTGCCGACAGCTGCCGGCGAGGCGGCCAGTCCTAACATCTGTGTGCCTTTCCACAGATGTGCGGAGCGACATTACGACTCATCAAAGTTCAACTGCCAAGGTGAGCCTGTCCTCTTGTGACCTCTGACCTTTGAGAGGCAGTGTGTTTGTCTGGTGTTGGGTAACGAGCCGTCGCTCTGCTCCTCCTCTCCCAGTCGCTCAGTACCCGTTCGAGGACCACAACCCGCCCCAGCTGGAGCTGATAAAGCCGTTCTGCGAGGACCTGGACAAGTGGCTGAGCGAGGACGAGCAGCACGTCGCCGCCATCCACTGCAAGGCGGGAAAGGGCCGCACCGGCGTGATGATCTGCGCCTACCTGCTGCACCGGGGCAAGTTCCAGGAAGCTCAGGAGGCCCTCGACTTCTACGGGGAGGTCCGCACCCACGACAAGAAGGTAACCTTTTTGTGTTCATGTGGAGCCTTTGCCTCGTGATACGAGGCGCCTTGAGCAGCTGTTGTGATGAATAAGGTTGTAACTGGGCGGTAAACCCTGAGCATGTTCTCCCCGTGTCTGCAGGGGTTCTCTCCGGGTACTCCCACAGTCCAAACACATGCAGCTAGTGGGGTTAGGTTACCTGGCGATTCTAAACGGTCCACAGGTGTGAGTGTGAGTGATTGTCTGTCTCTGTTAGCCCTGCCACAGCCTGGCGGCCCGTCCGGGTGTTCCCAGGGTGCCCCTGCAACCCTGACAGCGTGACAGAATGAATGGATGAATTCTAACTCTGCAGAGGCGGCTGATGAGGATGCTGAAAGACTCTGATATAACCTGACCTCACGATTGATCTGTTGATGTTCAGGGTGTGACCATCCCGAGCCAGCGGCGCTACGTTGTCTACTACAACTTCCTGCTGAAGAACCAGCTGCAGTACAAACCGGTGGCTCTGCTCTTCCACAAGATGCTGTTTGAAACCATCCCCATGTTCACCGGAGGCACCTGCAGTGAGTCTCGAGCAGTAAGTCTGCTGTCGCTTCGAGCGACTTCAGTTGAATTAACGGGTGTCCCTGTGCTCCCCGCAGACCCCCAGTTTGTCGTGTACCAGCTGAAGGTGAAGATCCACACCTCTAACCCCGGCCACACCCGCAGGGAAGACAAACTGATGCTGTTTGAGTTCCCGCAGCCACTTCCTGTCTGTGGAGACATCAAGGTGGAGTTCTTCCACAAGCAGAACAAGGTGCTGAAGAAGGTGAGGAGGTGATGGAGTCCTCTTTGTTGTCCTGAGTGGGGTTCACATGTGGCCTGGTGTAGTTTGTCTGGGCTCACCTCGAAGGGCCGTCTGTGGTCAGTGCTGAGTCTTGTGCAGACCCTGTGTCTGAGCAGGACTGAATATTTCCTCACAGTCAAAGGTCAAAGGTCAGCCTTGGTTATTCAGTGCCAAACTCAAACTAGTCTTTACTGTAGATGTTCAGCATCAGTTTTAGGAGCACAGGTTTTTCTCCGGGGACCAGAGGAGGTGGAACACGGACACGTGTCCACGATGGCAGAGCGCACGGCCGGCCTGGTTTCCTCACTGCTTTTTCTCATTGTAGGAGAAGATGTTCCATTTCTGGATCAACACCTTCTTCATCCCGGGTCCGGAGGAAGTCCCAGAGAGGATGGAGAACGGCAGCGCGGGGACACCCAGAGAGCTGTTTGACAGGACGCCGCAGACCCCGATGACGCCGGGAAGCGAAACCAACGACAGAGACTACCTGGTCCTCACGCTGACCAAGAACGACCTGGACAAGGCCAACAAGGACAAGGCCAACAGGAACTTCTCCCCGAACTTCAAGGTAAGCTGCTGAGCAGCGACGCCGTTGACGGCGATGGCGCTGAGTAAATATCCTGCTTGTTTTGTTCTTTAAGAAAAAGACTCGTTAAGTTGACGAGCCGCACAAACCCAGCTGTAATGACCAGGAAGATGATTTCTGCTGTGCTAGCGTGTAAACTCGTTAGAAGCACAGAGAGCGATGAGCGGCAGAGCGCCGCTGCCCGCCATCTGTAGTTTAAAAGCGTTAGCAGCAGGCAGGTGACCTCCAGACTGACGGTCTGCTTCTTCTTCTGCTTCAGGTGAAACTGTTCTTCACCAAGACGGTAGAAGAAGGAGCCAACTGTGACGCGAGCAGCACGTCCTCGATGACGCCAGACGCCAGCGACAACGAACCGGATCACTACCGCTACTCGGACACGACGGACTCGGACCCTGAGAACGAGGGGTTTGAAGACGAAGACCACAATCAGATCACAAAAGTCTGACACACACGCACTCTCTCTAATACGCAAACATACAGTTATATACGTGTATATATATCTCCAGTATGTATGTATGTATGTATACACTCGTGAACCCAGACGAAGACTAGCGGGCGGTTAGCTAACGGGGAGTATCGCCGGCGGACCGCAGCTGATCAGTGGGACTCTGATCAGAAAACTTTCGCCATCCCACCCCCAAACTTCTACACAGCTGGACAATCACATGACATGGATTTGTAAGCATGTGGGCGGGGCCAGGCGAGTGGACAGTGTGACGCAGGAAATCACAGTTTAAAGGAGTAAAACTTGAATCTAGACAAACGGAAAGACGAGTAGACTTCTTTAGTGACCACACCGCGGCGTCTGTGGGACGAAGCCCCTCCCGACCAGCTTTGTTTCGTGCTGAGCGGTCTGGACTCTGTCTTCATCTCTGCTCTCTTCAGGCTTTCTCAGTGTTGACGCTTCTCTCTGTGTGTGCTGAAAACTCAAATTCAGGTCGAGCGTGGACCCACGTGGAGCTTTGAAGGCCAGTTCCTGTGCTTCACCTGAATCTGAGACGTGGATCACTGCGGGACAACCAAAATAATTTACCTGACTCAAAATGTGAAACCACGATGCTGATGATGGCAGACGGTCATGTGATGAACCTGGCAAAATATCAGCATTGGGTGAGGTGAATCTGTTCTTGTAAAAAGAGATGCTGATTTAAAAAGGTCGAACCCCCGGGTCACCGTGACCGCATTTATTTATTCTCCCAAATACTTCAAACACCTTCAACTGGAAACTCCTGATCCAGTTTGCAGCAGCCTGTTTAATCCAGTCTAAATTGGGTTGGGCTGTAGGTCTGAACTTTTCTCCCCGAGCCTTGTTTGGACTGGCCGGACGGGTCCCGTCGCTGATCTGGACCCAGTTTGGGACCAAGCACAAAGAGAAGCGACAACCTGCTGTTGAATGTCACAGTGAAGATGAGAAACGTTATTATTCACAATCCTCTGCAGCTCCGTCAATCATCTGCTGAAGGATGCTCTGAGTGCGTGAACACCTGCTTCACTGCTTCTCTGTCTGTCCTCAGTTTTGCACAGAAGGACTGTTCAGTCTTTCAATCAGCTCCTACACTTCAAAGAACCTTGTTTTTGTTGTACTCTGAAATATATCAATCATTAAGCTAAACGACAAATGAGCTACTGCACAGTATAACCATTCCTGCAGCGATCTGCTTTAAGCTACACACCTATATAGGCTAGCCCCCAGCACAGACTGAAGCAGAAATCTTTGACTCCAGAGCGCTGGCTTTCGCTGTGTCTGGCATGCACTTTATGAAGGACACTCGAGTGAATCTTGACGGCCTTGTAAATATTTCCAGGCGCGCTCCGTCTGTGCAGGAGATCTGATTCGGCTCGTGTTGCGCTGTAGTCCTCATGAAGCTGCCGTTTGTGAGCTTTGGCTTTCTGCAGCCGGAGTCCGCAGCGTGCAGTGCCATCATTACAACGTCGTGGATTTCTTTTTAGTAAAACTACTCTAAGCTAAAGGTCTGCCAGGTCCATTTGGAGCATCTTTTGAATGGACACTGGACCTCGTCGGGGTCATGAGGATTTTGGGATCACTGCCCAAAAAACAGGTGGAACGCTGGTGCTGACCGAGCGGCGCCATCACGATGGTCAGCTCTGTGTGTCTCTGGTTTCTGATCTTTCAGAATGGTAACGCTCTAGAATTATTACTCTGTCCATAGACTATTAATCGTTTTTACTCACTACTACTTCTTGGAGATGTTTAAGCACTTATATTCTTGCAAAATTGTACCTTTAACACCAGGGACGATGGCTGGAGAGTCACGTTGGCATCACAGCAGGTTGAGACTTGTTCAACTGACAGAATGAGTATTAGAGATGTTTCAGCTACTGGAGGTTTGGCTTTGCCATGCAACATATGTAAAGTTAAAGCGGGCTCTTGGACGACTGTTTTGACCATTAAGCTTCTTCTTGCACATCCACCGTTCTGCATAAAGATATTACATGTACAGTATAATAAGGCCTAATGCAGTGACCATAAACACCGTCTGACTTCAGCCAGTCACACCGTATAAAAGTCTGTCCGATGGTCCGGAGCATCTACAGGGTCATCTGCGTCCTGGTCGGGCACAGGTAGAAGTTTTAGTCCTGATGCCTGATTTCCGTCCTCACATTTGGTGCTAAAAGCTATCGTGGACCCTGCTATGACTGATAGTTCATCGTGGGTGTGGTATCTGGGTCTCTGTTGTTGAACTGTGGGTCTTGGCAGGTCTGGTCACACAGGATGCACCATGAGGATCTAAAACACAAACTCCAAAGTTGTAGTGCCGATGCCTTCAGTAAAAAAACCTCCCATCTTGATCTCCAGATGTGTTTAACGTCAAAGAGCTGGTGACCTGTAATGAAGGCAGAGGCATCAGTAATGATGATTTCACTCATGTTCAGTTGCAATCAGGATAAATAAGATGCTGAACCTTGAGCTTGACCCCAAAAGGAGAAGATCTGAAGGTGTGTTTGACCCTCAGATCTTTGGGAGCTCGCCCGTTCTTGCCATCCAAGGTTGAACATGTTTGCAGAGCTCTTGGTGATGGTGATGATGATGCTGAAGCAACTGCCAACTGTTCCTTTGTGCTCTCTCTTATGACCGATCTAATGCCTCCTCATCAGTGCCAAGGGTTTTTAGGTTAGATTGACATTTAGCCAAACAAACGGCATCCTGTGTGAGCACGTCTAACGCCGTGGCCTGGTGCTACTGACAGCCAGTGCATGCAGCTTGTTGAGCGAGCCCAGGACTGGTCGTCCATCTGTGGTGCTCTCTACCAGCAGCGTGCGTGTTCGTCCACTCCTGATCTCTAATGCCCAGCAGCTGTGTCGTCAGCGTGGCCATACAGCCACTGGGATTTTTACAGCAGCATTTCCTGTCTCGAGTCCTGTTAGGTGCTATCAGACCTGGCCTCACGTCCTGTCACTGACCCGTTCAGCAGTGACCAGGGTGTAGTGTAGACCTGTACCAGAGTCCAAGGTTTGACTCCATTCAGGTGGATTTGTTCTTAACACCCACAGTTTTACTGAAGCGCAGTCACTCGATGAGGTTTGGGGCAGGTCGTGGTCGAGTCCAGAACGATGGGTAGAAGCTGCGTTTTGACTCTTTGTGGTTCTCCAAATGATTTTCCAGCAGACCTCACCGCTTTACCCAAAGGGAAGCTTGCAGAGATCCAGAGATGGGTCCGAACGTGGAAGACTGAGTGCTGTAGTATTTCATGTTGGTAATATTCTCCACTGCTGAGCAGGTTCAGGTGTTTGAGGCCAGGCAGGTGCTGTCCACGTCTCTGACTGTTCAAGGTGCTCAGTGTCTTTTCATTGTTGGTTGTATACAAACCTCCGTTCAGCTCTTCTCCTCACCTGGAGTTTCATAGAAAGTGGTCACCTGTTAACAGAGCTGGGGTCAAACTCCTCCCCGATTCTGACATCATCAGGGATTCTGCGGCAACTCTGTGTGAAGGAACCTCGAATTTTGCCTTTTAATGCACCGCGCCTGCCTCTTTCCCACTGCTGTGGTGCTGAAACAGCGGCCCCACCAGAGAGCCTGCTGCTCCTGAAGTTAGGACCCGTGCCGTCAAACGCTACGGGAGGGCCTACCGCAAGAAATTCATCCAGTGATTGGCAGACTCTGGGTGGGGTGCTTTTCGCGCAGACATTAGCCCAACATCTGCTAACAATTCTCAGATCTGTGTGCTGGGTCTGGCACCAGTGGAAAAGCGGTCATTGTGACAAGCTCCGGTACTTCCTGCTTCCTCAGACGTCCTGTTTCTGTCCCCGACCACACAGTGCTTCAGCTCTGCTGTTTGCGTCTCTTCACCAAACCTGCCACGATGAAGCTCGGACGCCTTTGTGTTCCTAAT